GTTGGTGTTGCACATGTCAAGGAATCCTCTTCCGGGTGCAGGAATAGACAGCATCATTAAACATCTCAGTTTCCCTCCTCAGCAGCAATACAGTAGCATGGAAACATCACTATACTGGAGTCATTCTACCACGTAAGTTTTCTAATTATTTCTTTATTCTCGGTTTACAGTTCTACTCAGCTCTTACCTTTCGCCATTTTCCTTTCTTTGTCATCTTTATACTACACAAAACACGACATTTACTTTTGAAAACAACCCACAAACAACAGACAAACTGAAGCCGATAACACTCATTGATATCAATGTAACATCATAACCTGCTGTGGAGCTCATCAGCAGTCTTCAAACAAGCACCACAGTTGGTGTTGCACGACATGTCATGGAATCCTCTGAAGCCCATAACACTCATTGATATCAATATAACATCATAACCTGCTGTGGAGTTCATCAGCAGTCTTCAAACAAGTACCACAGTTGGTGTTGGACGACATGTCATGGAATCCTCTGAAGCCCATAACACTCATTGACATCAATGTAACGTCATCACCTGCTGTGGAGTTCATCAACAGTCTTCAAACAAGAACCACAGTTGGTGTTGCACATGTGATGGAATCCTCTTCCGTGTGCAGGAATAGACAGCATCATTAAGCATCTCAGCTTCGCTCCTTAGCAGCAATACAGTAGCATGGCAACATCACTACATTGGGGTCATTCTACAACGTAAATTTTCCAATTCTTTCTTTATTCTTGGTTTACAGTTCTACTCAGCTCTTGCCCTTCGCCACTTTCGTTTCTTCCTCATCTTTATACTACATAAAACACGAGATTTTCTTTAAAAACAACTCACAAACAACAGACAAACTGAAGCCGATAACACTCATTGATATCAATGTAACATCATAACCTGCTGTGGAGTTCATCAGCAGTCTTCAAACAAGCACCACAGTTGGTGTTGGACGACATGTCATGGAATCCTCTGAAGCCCATAACACTCATTGACATCAATGTAACGTCATCACCTGCTGTGGAGTTCATCAACAGTCTTCAAACAAGAACCACAGTTGGTGTTGCACATGTGATGGAATCCTCTTCCGTGTGCAGGAATAGACAGCATCATTAAGCATCTCAGCTTCGCTCCTTAGCAGCAATACAGTAGCATGGCAACATCACTACATTGGGGTCATTCTACAACGTAAATTTTCCAATTCTTTCTTTATTCTTGGTTTACAGTTCTACTCAGCTCTTGCCCTTCGCCACTTTCCTTTCTTCCTCATCTTTATACTACTTTTTAATTTACGTGAATGATCTTCCGGACTGTCACCTGGCAAGCGATATTATTCTTTATGCAGACGATACTGTACTCTATTACTCATCCAAAAGCATCAGTGATCTTGAACATCACATCAATGCTGCCTTGGGGACAGTGTCTGAGTGGTTCTCTAGAAATCTCCTGACACTAAAAATATCCAAATGTAATTTTGCTATCTTTGGAAGTCCTCAGAAACTGAATCGTATTCAAGGCATTTCGGTTAAAGTAGAGGGCACTAGCATTGAAAGAACACAATCATTCAAATACCTAGGCGTAACGCTTCAACAGTCTATGTCCTGGGCAGATCACGTCGATGCTATCAGCATGAAGATTAATCAGAGAATAGGCCTAATTAGGAGAATCAGGAATCTATTGCCGCTACAAGCTAGAGTTGCCTTGTACAATGCCCTAATCCTCCCTCTTTTGATTACGGAGACGTTATATGGGGGACAAAACAATGACACCATCATGTCAGAATTACAGATTCTATAGAATAAAGCTGCTAAAGTTATGCTGGGGCAACCACCCCGAAGCTCGTCAACTGAAGCACTGAAAAGTCTAGATTTGAAGTCACTGTCCACAAGAAGGTTTTTTCATCGCTGCATTGCAATCCACAAGTGTCTTATTGGAGAAACCGATTTCAGCTTTAATTTTACTAAAAGTCAAGCTGTTCATTCATATAATACATGACGCTCTAATGATATTCGCTTACCCCTACCCAGAACAAACTGGGGTAAACAAACTTTTGTTTTTCACGCCGCGAAAGACTGGAACAGCCTTCCAAATGATTTAAAAGAGTGTAATATTTTATCTATTTTTAAATCCAAGTTAAAAACATTTTTTAAAAGATCTCAGCTAATTTTAAACCTTGATGTTTTTTTGTATAATCGATTTTAAGATTTTAAATTTTTAAATTTGTTTTACTTGTAAACATATTTTACTTTTTTCATAATTATTAATTAATTAGTTAGATTAATGCATGAGGGCCCCACTGAAAACCGCCTTGGCGAGTTGGGCTCCCTCTATAAATATTATTTAAAAAAAAAAAAATAAATAAAACACGAGATTTTCTTTAAAAACAACTCACAAACAACAGACAAACTGAAGCCGATAACACTCATTGATATCAATGTAACATCATAACCTGCTGTGGAGTTCATCACCAGTCTTCAAACAAGCACCACAGATGGTGTTGCACATGTCAAGGAATCCTCTTCCGGGTGCAGGAATAGACAGCATCATTAAACATCTTAGTTTCGCTCCTCAGCAGCAGTACAGTAGCATGGAAACATCACTATACTGGAGTCATTCTACCACGTAAGTTTTCTAATTATTTCTTTATTCTCGGTTTACAGTTCTACTCAGCTCTTACCTTTCGCCATTTTCCTTTCTTTGTCATCTTTATACTAGATAAAACACGACATTTACTTTTGAAAACAACCCACAAACAACAGACAAACTGAAGCCGATAACACTTATTGATATCAATGTAACATCATAACCTGCTGTGGAGCTCATCAGCAGTCTTCAAACAAGCACCACAGTTGGTGTTGCACATGTCATGGAATCCTCTTCAGGGTGCAGGAATAGACAGCATCATTAAACATCTCAGCTTCGCTCCTCAGCAGCAATACAGTAGCATGGCAACATCACTACACTGGAGTCATTCTACAACGCAATTTCCCACTTATTTCTTTATTCTTGGTTTACAGTTCTACTCAGCTCTTGCCTTTCGCCATTTTCCTTTCTTTGTCATCTTTATACTACACGAAACACGAGATTTACTTTTGAAAACAACTCACAAACAAAAGACAAACTGAAGCCCATAACACTTATTGATATCAATGTAACATCATAACCTGCTGTGGAGTTCATCGGCAGTCTTCAAACAAGCACTACAGTTGGTGTTGCTCATGTCATGAAATCCTCTTTCGGGTGCAGGAGTAGACAGCGTGATTAAACATCTCAGCTTCGCTCCTTAGCAGCAATACAGTAGCATGGCAACATCACTACACTGGAGTCATTCTACAATTTTTTAATTTTTTAACGAAGACTAGTGAGCAGCACAAAGGAAGACTTCTTGTAGTTGTAAGCTTTTTCGTTTATTTCCGACTCGTTTCGTCTCTTACTGAGACTTCTTAAGGGAATGAATACAACTAGCAAAGAACAGCATATATAACATGTATATACGATTAGCGCTAATCGTATGGCCCCCAAACAAATATAGCAACACGCAATAACATATGTATTAAGGCGTTTCTTGAAACGTCCGTTTACAGCATAGTTAAGTTATTATTCACTTCCACCGGAAGTTTTACTTACGCACACAACGTGTTATATATGCTGTTCTTTGCTAGTTGTATTCATTCCCTGAAGAAGTCTCAGTAAGAGACGAAACGCGTCGGAAATAAACGAAAAAGTTTACAACTACAAGAAGTCTTCCTTTGTGCTGCTCACTAGTCTTCGTTAAAAAATTGTATTAGCTACCTAGCAGAAGCCACATCAATGGGAGACCAAGATCAAGGCCGCAGTGGACTCAAGGAACAAAACAAGCCACTCTCTCTGAACAAAAAGAGTAGAGAAGTTTCTCTTGAACGACAAGCGAAAAGTAGAGAATCGCAAATTGCAGAACTCCGCAGGCGTCCGGTCGCTCCTCGGCCACACCTACTGAGAGCCCTCCAGATGTTAAACTTGACTCGGCATTTGCGTCTATCCTCAAAAAGAAAGTTTATTTGTTGGTGGACACTGAGAACGCCCTCTCCCAATCCCATAGGAGGATTAAACATCTGGAAGAACAATTCCAGCAAAACACAGTCCCAAAAGGTCTGAAGATTAAGCCTGTCAAAGCTAAAAGCAAATCAGAGGATCTTCAGAAGAAGTTTGACGATATTCCCCATAAAGCAGAACTCAAATTTCTGGAAGCCACGCTGGAAAACCTACGCAAAGAAAGCCTTGAGACTGAACACTCCATTGCTTGCTGTAAAGAGGATATTAACGCCACCATCGGCCGATGGAGAACTTCGTTTCCTCTCAAGGACGAAAATTCCACCGAAAAAGCTGATTTATTGACTAAATACGCCAATAAATTCGTGGATGATTTCTACTTTCAATGCATGGCTACCAAAACATCCAAAGCTCTCCAAGACGCCCTGAGTAAAGAGGAAAAGGCCAAGACACAACCTGGCATGGAAACCGATTTCACGTTAACCGAAGAATCTGTCCGGGATATCGTCAAGGCTGAAGTTCAGCGTCTCAGCAGCCAAAAGGTAACTCAAAACTCTCGCGGCCGCTCAAGACGCAGAGATAACGCAGCACCGAGCGATGTAAATAAAGTCCATAAACCACAGGGTAGAGGCAGATCATTGTCCAAAGGCAAAAACAACCGCCAACGTAGCCAAAGCGCAGGCAAAAAACAAAAGCAGCGTGGCCGATCGTCTGGCAGCAATCGGCGAGTCTCGCTGTCAAAAAACGGCGGCGGCAGAGGTACCGGCCACGGAACGTAGATAACAGAACTGCATACGAAAAATGGCTGTTCTCTATGGCTAAGCGACCTTTGTACGACCTCCTACCATGAAATTCGGAAATCCATAACTTTACCTCTCTGTATTTGACTGGCCGTCAGAAAAGGATCATCGGCCTGGGTTTGAAGTTCAGGCCCACGCTAAAACCTTCTGACCTGACACAGTTCAAT